TGTCCTACGCGCGTAAGACAGCCCGATGCACGCTTATTCGCGGATCTTTGTTAATTAAAATCTCGGTAACTATTGCGAATCTAGCAAAATGGTATAAGACTTTTCACCTCAGTTTTATTCCTTCTACCTGCCTACGAGCGATGTTAAACCAATTCTGGGACACCCTGTATATTATAATACGTTGGTTAAATATTAAAAGTATAATTTTTATCAATAAGAGAATCTTAGGCTCTGAAGTTTAAAACTAGAAATATATAAACAGCAATAAGAACCGTTCACTGGATGTTGTGCGGAAATATGTGCGTATATACCGAACAAAATACTTTTTAGTAATACTTTTCCAGAAAAAGGTAAAAAAAGACGCCCAAGTACACGCGCAACTCGTATCTTTAGAAAAAGTATTACTATAAAACCCAATCAGCAGTCAATGTTTTTTAAATTTTTTTAAAATATTTTTTTTTATTAATTGCACATTGTACAATTGATTGTAAAAATAATATTTATTTAATGTTTAATAATTATTTATTTTACATCAAATATTTATTTAAAATGATAATTTAAAATAAATATTTGTAATGTTTATTTAAATTTTATTTACATTTTTGTACATGTACTTTAATATTAATTAATTATTTAATTGCAATAATGTAAAAAAACAAGTATGTAAGATTTATTTATTGTTGTTAACATTTTTTGGTATTTATTTTGAATGTTATTTATTTAATGTTTTATCATATTTTGTTGATTTTGCTCTAAAGATTTGTGTTACATATATATATATATATAAGTACTTTTAAAGAATAAGAAAAGAGCTATATATTTTGTATGTTGCATCTCATATAATATATATTTAGATATATTCTTACTTGTTTTAAGAATATGCCAAAAGATATACCGTTTCATTCAGCTTTCCAAAAAAGCAAAAATACGAAGATTAAAAGCTGAAGATGAAGATTACCTTAATTCAACTGATTCTTCAATTACTAATTCCGAAATACCAGATTTTCGTTATTTTCAAAAAGAATCAGAACTTCCTCATTCTACACCTTCTTATCATTCTAAACTTTCTTATTATTCTGAACTTTCTAATCATTCCGATCTTGTTCACCATTCTGAATTTTCTGGTAATTTTGAGCATTTTGGACATTCTGAATACTCTAATTTTGCGCATTGGGATAATGATAAATATGGAGAAAGTGATAATTTACATGAAAAAAAAAAAAAAAAAAAAAATTATCGATTCTGATGATCTCTCTCATTCATCATTTACTTCAAGCAATTCTCGATCTAGCAAAAATTCAATTTCTGGGAATTCCAAAGTGCTTAAATTTCTTTGCAGTTGGACTTTAAAGCATAATATAACACACGAAGCTATTTCAGATTTACTTAAAGGTTTAAAAAAAAATCATGAATGTTTTGCTGATGAATCAGAATCCACATTTCCTGTCAGTGCACGAACATTGCTAAAACAAACGTAAAATTAATCAAAAAAGTTGTTGAACCTGGTCATTATATCCATATTGGATTACAAAAACAATTATTAAAAATTGTTCCTAAATATTTAAAAACTACAAATTCTATTAAGTTATTAATAAATATCGATGGGTTCCCTCTTTTTAAAAGCTCGCTTGATCAAATGTATCTAATATTATGCACTATAGTATCCGTTCCAGAGTTACGTAATAAAGTATTTCCTATAGAAATATATTACGGTAAAGATAAACCTGTACATTTAGAAGATTATTTTGAAGATTTTGTTACAGAAATTACCAATCTTTATGAGAATGGCCTTTTTTTGGGGAATCGCACTGTACAGTTAGATGGCATTTATTTTGTTTGCGATGCTCCAGCAAAAAGTTTAATAATGGGAATAATATCGCATACAGGGTTTTATTCTTGTACTAGGTGCGCTGTTCGCGGTGTTACGTCGAATAATCGGCGAATTTTTATTAATTTAGAAAGTCCTGCTCGTACTTCTATTATTTTTTTCATATAGTTGAATACTAAAAGCAACGATTTATGTACAATCTGTACAATTTATATATATTTGTTAAGCTATAAGAAAGTTTTCTAGCATTTATACTGGTTTTTTATATGTACATATACACGTTACTACAGCTGTTTGCTGAGATAATCAGAAATCTGAAAGTCATGTGTAATATAGGAAGGAAAGCTTCACTGCGATGAAGAGCGCGTGTGCAAGACGTAGGTGGAGGTATAAGGCTTACACTATGAGTAAACGAACGCTAGTGTCATGTAGTTAGTATTCGGAGTGCTAACCAGTTACGTAGTGTGAAAAACATCTCAATAAAAATAGTGAAATTGAATGAACACAAAAATACACTTTACAAAACAATAATTAAAAGAAATTCTTTCTGACACACAACATAATTAATATAAAATTGTGAGATTACATTTAAAATATTAAATTTCAAAAACTTGATTAACTTAAAAGTGAGTCGTTATGAGATATAAACATATCGTTCTCGATGATGCATTGTTAATTACAACTATTAGCTTACTTTTCGGACTCATGTACTACTTCAATCAAGGTATGGTGAACTAAAAAAATATTGTTAACAAATTTTACTTTCAATTTGCATTAATCTGCTAGATTCTACTATTGTATTTTTATCATGTTTCTTCCGTAATATTTATATCGTGATGTATTAACAATAAATATTATAAGAATTATTACAATGTATTTTTAGTACAATTTTACACACACAGATTTTAAACAATCAGATTGTCACGTACGCAAGCTAAAATAGCTATTTTCTACTCCTTAGCACGTATAGTTTTACAAGATAAATGGGTGTGTTTTTAAAATTTGTGTCGCAGCAATATGAGGTTTGAAAATAAATTGAAAGACATGCTCTCAAAAGTCTATGTAAAAAAAAACGTCTTTGTTATACAGTGATACAGTCACCGAAGAAAACAGTAGTGTCTCTTGTCCTGATTTTTGTACAATGAGTCATCTTGCGTGCCAAAAATGCATCTACAAATTTTGACATAAGTATTTCTGTATTTCTATTTCAGACAAATGTCCTGTTGGTACATTTCTTTGTAAAAACAGTATTATATGCATACCACAACGTAGCTGGTGTAATGGTGTGCCAGAATGTCCACATGATGTCCGAATGATGATGAGTTTACAGAAAATTGTTGTGAGTTTACTTACATTAAATAATTAATATTAAAAAAAAATAATTTTTTCATGTTTTTTTTCTCTTTCTCTCTCTTTTTTAATTATGATATTTTGCTGCACAGTTGATATGCACAGAACTTAGAATTAGTTTAAGTTATACAGAGACTGGAGAGACTCCAAACTGCAGTAACATAATAATATACAAGCATGTAATAAACATACACATTATTTGTAACACTAAAAATATTTTTTTGTTTTGTCAGATACAATTGCCGAGCCAGCTGAGTATGAAATCGTAGCCAACGACACATGTCGTGTGACTTGTACGAATCATATTGATGTGCCGCACGAGTTGTCATCAAACGTGACAGAGATGTATGTATATGCTTATTGTCTAAAATGGTTTTAGTTCCACAAAAAATAAGAGCTAGTCAAAATTATGCTAATAAAAAAAAAAAACTAATTTGCAGTTAAGTATACTTCCAAACAGTATCAAAAACTAAAAGACAAAGAAAAATGTTTTAAACGAAGAAAAATCATTAGAAATTATTATCTAAAAAAGAGATATTTTTTATTTAAAATAAAAAAAATTTAGATAAGGTAGGTTATTGAGGTGTCACCTCGAGCTTTCTTTGGAAAATCCAATATAAAATTTGAAGTAAAACGGCTATATGGAGCCTTTGCGGGATGTTATGTAGTAAAGATTTTTTGGAAACAAAATTTTTGCCAAAACGTTTTGACTTTATTTGAAGTCCTTATCAATTGATCAATAAAAAGATGATAAAATTGTATGAGAATTAAAATGTATACGCATCACGTTACAATGTCACTAAGAAGTCTAATATAGATACGAACTTAATCGAGTTAAAATAGCTGAGTATTTTGAACGTCATATAAAGGTGAATTCAGTACTGATAAAAAAATTTAACATTATATTGTATATACATGTATAAACATTGTATACCTGTTGTTAGAATATTATACATATATTGTTTTATTATTGTTTATTTTATAATAATATTATCGATTTTTTTGTTTTATAACTGCAATAGCTATTTATCGTATAAAGAGTTAAATACCGAAAATCTTATTCTGTCATTTCTTACTATTTACTACTTAAAATACTAAAAATATTGCATTACGACATTAAAAAAATATAAACACAATGTTTTATACAAATAGTTATTTATTTTATTAAGTTTACTTAAATAAAAATTATCTTTTCTAAAGTAAAAACAAATTTTTTTCTGTACTACTACATATGTAGTAAAGAAAATATGTCTATAATATATAATTAAAAAATTCACATAGTATAATTTAGAAGTATCTAAATCTAGATGTCTCTCTTTCAGTTATTTTATAAAATAAATCTACAACACAAATTATATAGGATATAAGATATTTGTAGTCATTTTTTGTCGACTGTAACCAAAAGATATCTGTACGAAAAATCTGTCTTCTTTTAGTCATTATTTATAGAACGTCTGTAATTTAGATATAAAATTTTTTTATCTATGTGTTGTCTCTGGAATGTAACTTAAATTCACATAAAATGCTATCAAATATGTAATCTCAACTGTTCCTGCTTCTAGCGTTAGTCTGTTTACCATAATACTCGAACAAAATATGTAACGTTCCGACTTTTTAATGTTCGGGGTAGTTCGTTGGGCGGGGAGATAAATGATTACTCAGACTTCTTTGCAAACTAAAAGAAATATATTTAAACCTTATATAAATTTACAAAATGTGATGGCAATGAAAACAAAAATTGAGAGAATTTAACTTGAACAAAAAGAAACAAATATATTAGCGAGACCGCAGACGCGTGAAAAAAAGAAAGAATTAAACCATAAATTTATATATTAGTATTGTGACAAGAAAACAAAATAACAATTTAGCTGCAAATGATGAGGTACATTTAAACCGCCGCAACAAAATCCATTTAACACGCGAATAGTAAACGAAAAACAGCCGGTCGGTTTTTATTCGTGTTTACCGCCTAGCGCCGCACGTGAGTCGGCGATATGCGGAACAGTTGTGTCCGCTCAGTCGCGTGACCGTTGTTTGTCGGCGCTGGCATTCCCGGCTACTCGAGACTCTCGGCTGGGGACTTTCTTCCTCGTGGAGCAAACGGGATGCTGCCGAGACACTCGGCCGGAGAATTTCTTCTCTTGAAAACCACCATGGAGATAAAGGAGGGAGCATTAAGGGATATTATAGGCGCGGGGAGTGAAGCCATGGTGCGGGGGGGATTTGATCTCTAAACAACCTTCAGCCATATTTATATGGGCTACTAGTGCTGCTATCTATTTGATGAGAGTGGTATTATTTCAACACATTGAGAGTAGTATTATTTGACGTTGATGCGTATTAATCTGTTAGTGACAGGAAGAAAGTGTGAAAAATTTTAATAAAGAGAGGATTAAGAAGAAGAAAGAGAAATAAGTAAGACAGAATTAAATTAAAATAAGTCTTCCGCAATCTACACGTTATATTACATTTAATACTATAGGTTTAAATTTATAGTTAATAGTTAACATAAGCGTTACGGATGTTCTAAACTTTTATACTTATTTTAGAAAAAAATTAATTATAAAAATAGTGCATTGCATAGCATTTAATTAAATACATCATGTGTGATATTTGTGTTAACGCCTTAATTGATAATAGTAAATCAAAGAAAATTATACAACAAAGTCAAATATGAGATATCCTCGGACTCTTATTGGTAATTCCAAAATGAAAATATGATGAACTGGGCGATAATAGAGTCAGTGCAGGATGGAATGCAGAAGTAAAAAACAGTATAATTTGGATAAAAAACGTTTCGACTTTATTTTTAAGTCCTTTTCAATTTCTATAAATAAAGCGTGTATTATAATAATGAAGGAAACAGATTAAGATTTCAGTACATTAAACAAATTAAGATTTTAGTACATACCGTAAAAAACAAAGTGTAATAGTTAAAATAGTCAAATTATAAAATCCATTTACAAATGTGTTATCAAAAATGTCAAATATGGATAGATCCAAATCATTTGAAATGTAACGATTGACTGAGAGGAAAGAAAATTGCTCCCTCTGTATGTGTGTGTGTATTAATAATCTATTTTACCAAGT